CACTCTGGGCTGGGGTCTTTCTGGCCCAGGGCAGTCCCTGTGGCTTGAGCGGGTAGTTCCAGTTCCCCTCATGGGGCTTTGTCCACAGGGTCTCCCTCCTGAGCCAGGACACAAGCTGGAAGGAACCCAGTGAGAAAGTTTGAAGTCAACATGGAGGCAGCCGAAGTGCTCTTTCTGGCCTTCAACTGTGTCACCCACAAGTAGCAGAACTGGGTCTGTCTGGGGCCACTGGAGGCAGGTGCTCTTGAACCCTTCGGTCCTGCTTACAAACTAATTACCACACTCTATCTAATGAACATATCCCTCACCTCCCAGAATTAATACATGTGTACGTTTGTGTGTTGTGACTATAGCATAGCATAACCTCTCCTAGCAAATTGTGGTTATTTTGTTTAATTAAGACAATTTTTAAATAGTTTTTATTTCTGAGAGAGAGAGACAGAGTGAGAGCAGGGGAGGGGCAGGGAAAGAGGGAGACACAGAATCTGAATCAGCCTCTGGCCTCTGAGCTGTCAGCACAGAGCCAGGCACGGGGGCTCAAACGCACAGACTGGGAGGTCATGATTTGTTTTTAAAAATTTTTTTTAATGTTTTATTTATTTCTAGGAGAGAGAGACAGCGTGAGCAGGGGAGGGTCAGAGAGAGAGGGAGTCACAGACTGAAACAGGCTGAAACAGGCTCCAGGCTCTGAACTGGCAGTCAGCACAGAGCCCAACGCGGGACTCGAACCCACGAACCTTGAGATCATGACCTAAGCGAAAGTCGGACGCTTAACCGACTAAGCCACCCAGGCGCCCCTGCGAGGTCATGATTTGAGCTGAAGTCGCATGCTCAACCCACTGACCCACCCAGGCACCTTACCCCTAGCAAATTCCACGTGTACAAGATACTAGTCTTAACTCTACTCACCAGGCTATAACATTTAGTGCCTACCCATCCTGCATCAGTAAACCTTTTACCATTTGATCCAATGTCTGAACATTTCTCTGTCCTTAGCCCCTGGCAACAGACATGCTAATCTTTATAGCTTTGTCTGTTTTAGATTCCACATATATGTGATTTTCATGAGGGAGCTTGAGGCAGGCTGAGGGGCAAAGCACAAGCTAGCACATCCCCTCCCCAGGTAGGACCTTTAGGATATTCCTTGGACACCCCAGGCTACCCCAAACCACGAAGGGACAAACAAACAAACGTTTAAACTGATAAGAGTGTCCACCACTTCCCAGAAAAAGGCAATCCCTTCCTAGTTTAAAGTCCAGGAACTCCTTACTGTCTCAATGTCAACGCTTTGCTGCAGGGACAAACAACCTGACCTTGACAACAGCTAGGTCTCCAGTGGGCCTGTAGCATGTGAAAGTCTCTTTGGAAAGTCCCTCTTGGCTTCCTCTTCCTGGACTCAATACAAGGGTCACCCTCCCCCCCACTACCCCAGTGCACCTCTTCCTGCGCATCGATCCTGTCTCCCTGTTTTCATAAACTCACCTTTTTGCACCAAAGACGCCCTCAAGAATTCTTTCTTGGTCACCGGCTCTGGACCACACAAACCCTGCATCACTCCAGAATGTCGTCGATCATACAGTACGTGTTTGTCTCTTTGTGTCTCATTTAACTTAAGAAAATATCCTCTAGATACTTCTGTGCAAAGGGAAAGATTTCCTTCTTTTCTGAGGCTTTCAGACAAAGAATGAATCAGATGAGAAAACTCTATTGGGGAAAGAGGTAACACTAAAGGGGAACTTGTAAAAAAGAGTTGCCTGCCGGGCATGGCAAATATCTGTTTGCCCAATATTTACTCTTTCCCTTTTCCTGTGAGTGTACTTCCCCCTCTTTGAAATTCTAATTCTGTAGCCCTTCTCCTTAAGTCACAGTGGCACATAAGGGTCATTTGCCTTACTCTGACCCTCATCTTGTTGATGTTCCTATAATTAAGCCTTTTTTCACTTATGATTTTGTCTTATAATAGTTCAATTATTAGACCAGCCAAAGAATTGACAACAGATGAAGCAAAAAGTTTTCTTCTCCTACACATTCATTCCGTCGTTGAGAACTGACCTTGGTGTTTCATATCCAAAAGAAACTGAAAAGAGAGAACGTGGGAGAAAGAGGAACAGTAGCTTTCCTGCTTTGCCAGGCTGAGGAGGCTGAGGCAGGTTAGGGCCTTCAGAACTGCAAGGCCACCCAGAGGAAGGGCTGGGGGTTTGTTGGGAAATAAGGACCCACCTGGTTTGGCCAGGAGTCCTTTGTGCTGTCAGCCTTGTTCATTGGGTGTCCTGGGTGGTACTGATTTCCTCATTTAAAAAAAAAAAGGTTAAGAGGACTGACTGAGTGGCTCAGTCTGATCAGCGTCCCACATCTGCTCAGGTCATCACGTCACAGTTCATGTGTTCTCACCTTGCACTGGGCTCGCTGCCGTCTGCGTGGAGGCTGCTTGGGACCCTCTGTCCCTTCTCCCTGCTCTTCCCCTGCTCTCGGATCCTCTCTGGGTCTCTCGTGTCTGTGTCAACAATAAATACACTTGAAAAAACTATTTAAAAAGGTTAAAATGGCAGGGGGCAGTTGCCCCAAATAGAAAACCAAGGTTACTTAGTTTACTCTCAACCCATGCTATGTTTAAATGCAGTCGTTTTGATTTTTGTTCAACCTTACATTTTTAAGGGATTTCAATTTCGGTCACCAGGACAACATGTAGTAAGACCATTTCGTATTATATTATGAACAACATCAATATTTCCTAGAGTCGCAAAGAAAGAAAACACACAGAAAAACAAAAAATTACTCCAAAAAAACACAGGGCAACACCAAATTTCACTGAAAACCTTGAGCCATTCATACAGAATTTTCATATAATGCCGATGGGAGTATAAAAAAGTACATTCTAGGGGCGCTTGGGTGGCTCCGTTGGTTGGGCCCCCGACTTTGGCTCAGGTCATGATGTCGCAGTGGAGGAGTTGGAGCCCCCTGTCAGGCTCTGTGCTCACAGCTCAGCTGAGCCTGCTTCACCCTCCGTGTCTCCCTTTCTCTCTGTGCCTCCCCTGGGCATGCTCTCTCTTCCTCTCTCTCTCTCTGTCTCTCTGTAAGAAATAAATATTAATTTTTTTAAAGTACACTGTATTTGGAAAGCTATTTGGCCGTGACCTAGGAAAATAAACTTTCTTACTGAAGGGCAGCAGTTTTTCACCTCAAATTATGTCTCTTTGCCTAAGGATTATTTTAATCTGACAAAGGAAAAGCTCTGAAACCCAGGACATTTCATTTGTAAGAGACATTTGCATGTACAAGGGAAAGTTCCATTTGGAAGGGTGGCTCCCTCTGTGCAGCAGAAAGAGGGAGAATGTGTAAATCTCCAGAAACTCTGATCAGTGGAGACAGCATGGATTTTCATCTGAGCAAGGACCCGAGCCTTGGTTCCTGTGCTTTGCCTGGTCACCTCCCCAAATGCTTCCCATCAGGATCACCTGTGGAGTTTCAAGAAGGTTCCTTGCTGCTGCCCTCCCCCTCAGCTTCCCTGAGGTGGGTGGGAGGAAACAACAGTGTTGTTTTAGTCAGGTGCTCCCTGGGATTCTGTTGCAGGGCCATTTACCTCAACACCAGGGACTCCTGGTCTCCTGCTTCAAAGAATGAGGAGTGGACACAAAATGAGCAACAGATAAAAGTTGATTGGAGTAAAGGCGAGGGAGAGTCCTAGGAAAGCTCTAGGTAAAGGGAGGGGCATTGCAGGGTGAAAACCCAAGACAATAGGCAAGGACCTTTGTTTTATTGTTGTGGAAATCTGGTCTGGATCGCTGGGGGAAGAACTACTGCGTCTAAGACATCTTGGAAGGGAGGAGGTTTATGTTACACCTGAGGGCTCAGAGGAGATCATTCTCCAGAGGGCTGAGCCGGGAACAAAGGCGGTCATTTGCTTATAAAGTTAAAAGAAGCCCACTCATAAGGGCAGCGGCGTTTAAAGCTGATTGGATGTTTAGGGGTAGGTGACTTGGGGGCATCGCTATGCACAGGTAGGGAAAAGAAGTGGGAGTGGGGACACGCAGCCTGGGCAGTTCGCCATTATGACCTCTATGACCTCAAGGAGTTTTCCTTTATTTTCTCCATTAGGATGAGGGTCAGGTCTCTCCCACCGTCGTTCCCTTCCCCCCTGTTCCTTCTTAGGTCCGACACTTACTGGCTTCATGACTGTAGGTGCTGGTTTTCCACGGCTGATTGTCTCATTTCCATTGTATGAGGGGTGGTCTAAGGCCATACAGTTCCTTGTGGGTCTTAAGTTTCATGGCGTACTACTAATTTTTAGTTAGTTCTTTGGTCAAATTCCTGAGGGGAGCCTGAGGGGCAGTAGGTGGTGACTGTCACATTCTTAAGTGAAACCTTACACCTGAGGGATTATTGCTGTGATCAGACACTCACAGCTTTGTTCCAAAATGTGTTTTTCCCCATCCAGAGACCTCAGATCCTAATGTTTCCCTTTTGCCTACTGAATCCTATCATTTTGTATCCTAATTCTAAGTGAGGCCCAGGGTTAGGCAGGCAGGCTCCCCATTAATTTATTAGAGTTGAGAGGTGCCGAGGTGGCTCAGTAATTTAACCGTCTGACTTTGGCTCAGGTTATGGTCCTAGGGTTTGGGGGTTTGAGTGTCCCGTTGGGCTCTGTGCTGTTAGCTACGAGCCTGGAGCCCCCTTCAGAATCTGTGACTGCCTCTCTGCCCCTCCCCCAATCATGCTCTGTCTCTCAAAAAGTAAATAAAAATTAAAAATTTTAAAGAATTATGATATCAGTACAGGCCTGCCTCAAGGAGACGTAACAGGTCTCCTGTACAGGAGTTGGGGAGGGTCAGGTCGATGTAGCACACATTTTCTATGCTCAAGCAGAATTTGTGTGCCTGTGAGGGAAGGGAGGCTCCTGAAACCAGAGAAGGGAAACTCAGGGATTGGTTCCCAAGCAGGAGCTCACAGTTTGTGAACAGCTCCTGACACAAAGGACTAGGAAGTTGGGCCTTCTCTGCATTTCAAAGCTCTGCCTGCAGGCATGCAGTTTACTGGGGAAAAGGCTGTGTTGGTGGCTTCACAGAGATTTTCTATTTCAGCTGGGATTTCCCCACAAAGATCTTCTGAGAAGCAAATCTAGAGGAGAAGGTGAAAGAAGAAATGGCTAGATCGCAGGTAAGCCTTGTGGGCCTGGCCTGGGGCCCTGTTGTTTTTTTCTGGGGAAATTCCATGCACGTAGGAATCGCAGGGCACCTGGGTGACTCAGCCAGTTGAGCATCAGACTCTTTATGTGAGTTCAGGCCTTGATCCCAGGGACCTGTGCTCCAGCCTTGAGTCGGGGTTAAGATTCTTCTTCCCTTTCCTCTGTCCCTCTTCCCTCAGTTTGCATTCTCTTCTCCCTCCCTCTCCTTCTCTCTCTCTCTCTCTCTTTCTTTCTCTGTCTCCCTCCCTCCCTCCTTCTGAATCTCTCTAATTCTCTGTCTCCCGCCCTTCCTCCCCGCCGTCTCTCTGTCTCCCACCCCCCACCCTCTCTCTCGCTCTCTCACCCTACCTCCCTCTCTCTCTCAAAGTGTGGTCATGTCTCCTCACTGAGGAGAGAAAACACTAAGACAACTTGGCTATACGAGTACCTGACCACGTCCCTCTTGACCTTGTAGTAAGAGACCAATGGGTGCAACTGGATGTTTGTGTGTTACCATATATGGGAGACACAGAATTAAAACCTATATAAAAACTATACCATGTGGTGTTCAGGGCTCAGTCTTTGGGTACAAACCCCACTGAATTATGCCAGCAGCAATGAATTTGTTTCCTGAAGAGAAAAGTCTGTGTGTGAGAATCCCACTACAACAGAAATCTCAAAAAAGAAATCAATGATTTATTTTAGTTCTGATGGTTCTGCTTTATGTTTCCACCTAATTCTTACCTTCTCAGAAATGATACTCCAGGTAGGTGGTTAGAGCCCTCCTCCCCTGTGTCCCAGAGACTCCTCTCCCTTCTCTCCAACCTACCTTCCAGCAAGGCATCGACAGTTGTCACTTTCAGTTAAAGTCCTGCAAGTATTGAAAATAGTCATTTTGCGACAGATTCAGATGGGAGGGTGTTGAGTCCAAGGTTCATGTTGCTGATGGGGTCTGGCCCTGGGGTTGCACTCAAGGAAAACCGTTCCCACTTAGTTCTGATCCCAATGCTTTCTCCATTCTGGGTAGAATAGGATTCTGAGAATATGATTCTGAAACACATAGGATGGATAGGAGGCACAGAATAACCTGGAAAGTTCCTTTTCGTTAGGATGTGTAAAAGCTACTTGAGAATATTGTAGATATTACAAGACATGGAAACTATATGTGACTGAAGGCTGAATAAATCCACTGTTTCTTCAAAGTAGTTTCTATTCTGACTTGCTGTTTGGGGGTCACAAGAACACACCGGTGGTCCTGTGTCCTGGGGTGTGCCTCAGGCACTGAGATCGCTTTGTTTCCTTACATCTGACGTTACCTTCTTTTACTTGGCTTTGTGTCCTTGCCAGATTTCTCCCCTGGAATGTAATGTAATTTTCCTTCTTTTCAGTTGAAATGTTTTTCAGGAAGATTCTCTGATCGATTTCTAGACACCACCATATTTAAAGTGGAAACTTCTTTTCCCACTTTCACTTTCCCTGTTGTTTTTTTCCCCAAGTTTATTTATTTTGAGAGAGTCAGAGCAGGCGCAGTGGAGTTGCAGAGAGAGCGCATGAATCCCAAGCAGGTTCCCCAGGGTCAGTGCAGAGCCCGACTCAGGGCTCAAACTCACAAAATTATGAGACTTTGACCTGAGCTGAAATCAAGAGTCTGATGCTTAACTGATGAGCACTCAGCCGCCCCCCCCCTTTTTTTTTTTTTGCCATTTCTAGGGAGGAGAACAAAGCCCAAAGAAATGTAGATAAACTTAAATTTTCTTACAACTTGTAACCCACTGGGAAATACTTGAGACTGGCAGAGGAAGATATTCCTCAAGGAATTTACAACTGCTTTAATGTTAATGCTTTTCTGGAGGCAAAAAGCAAGTTTAGCTTGACAATAGTCAGACTTCCGGGATCCTGTGAAGTTCTTTTACCTATGAAAAGCCCTTTCTAAACTTTTATTTCTACCCCTCTCATCTTAAAGTATATAGTCAATGGCTCCTCACTATCAAACTGCAGCTCATTCTATCCATAGATCATGTCTCTGTGCTTTAATAAGATCAGCCTCATTCACCAAAAAGGCCTCAGGAATACTTTCTCGCGCATAAATTTATTCCTGATGCACCTCAGGTCAGTTTCTTTTCTTTTCTTTTTTTTTTTTAATTTTTAAAAATGTTTTATTTATTTTTGAGATAGAGACAGCGTGAGCAGGGGAGGGTCAGAGAGAGAGGGAGACAGAGAATCTGAAACAGGCTCCAGGCTCTGAGCTATTCCTCAGCACAGAGCCCGATGCGGGGCTTGAACCCACGAACCGTGAGATCATAACCTGAGCTGAAGTCGGACGCTTAACCGACTGAGCCACCCAGGTGTCCCACCTCAGGTCAGTTTCCATGGGGCAATGAAGGTTCTCACTTTTGTGTAGTAGATCTAATGACCTCTGGGAGTTGAGGTTCTAAATCAGTCAGACCTTCATCCCACAGGTTTTTATGTCACTGCATTGTCATGACACAGACATTCTCTTCTATTTACTTCTTTGTATTTTCAGAAAGAGTAGAATCACATAATTAACATGTTTGAGCACCATAACATCCTGAAGTACCATAGAGCACAAGTGATGACTGTAACAAGGTGCCCCTATCAATTAGCAGTGCCTGGATGGCTCAGCTACTTATGTTTCCACTCAGTTTCAGTGCAGGTCATGATCTCAAGGTTCATAAGATAGAGCCCTATGTCAGGCTTCATGCTAACCTTAGGAGGACTCTTTGGATTCTCTCTGTCTCTCCCCTCCCATGCACCTACAATCTTTCTTTCTCAAAATAAATAAACATTAAAAAAAAAAAAAAAAACAACTTCCAAGGTGCCTGGGTGGTTCAGTTAGTTAAGTATCTAACTCAACAGAGGTCACAATCTCAGGGTTCATGACGTCGATTCCCACATCTCTCTCCCCCACACACATAGGATTCTCTTTTCCCTCCCTGTTTCCTCCCTCCCTCACTTGTGTGCGCTCTCAAAAAATAATTTTAAAATAATTGAAAAGATTTCCAAGAAAAAGTACGTTATGGGATCACTAAGTACTATAGTCAAAATACTTTTCTTGAGGTGCTGCATGGTACAAGACAGGTAATTTATTGACGTAGCACAGGGACAGAACCCGTGGGCTAACAGAACTCTACTTTGGCTATAGAAAGCTTATATCTTCATGGGGGAGGGTAGGTGCCCAGAATACTCGATCACAAATCTTGCTTGAAATTTCTGTTTGTAAAGTTACTTCTGCACAATCTCTGTTGCTTATTTTCAGTTCAATATTAACAATTAGAAGACCCTTCAAAAAATGGCGCATCCATGGATTCTTGGGTGGCTCAGTCACAGCCTGGAGCCTGCTTGGGATTCTTTGTCTTCCTCTCTCTGCCTCTTCCTCTTTTACACCATGCTTGCCCATGCCCTCTCTCATAATATAAGTAAACATTAAAAAGAAAAAAAAAAAAAGAATGGAGGAAGCAGTCTTTATTTGATGCTTCCCAAAACTATGCAGGGTTAGGTCAGCCTTCTGCGGTGAAGGTGAACATATTTCTTTGGCATCCCTCATCATAGTAGATTCAGAAATAAAAGCTGTTATATTTATATCATTCTATATGTTTGTGTTGATAGTGTAAGTAAAAGACCTGAGCATCATCATCTGCAACTAGATTGAGGAGTTTGATGTCATTGAAATGTTCTTTGTTTGGTTGGTTTTTTATTCATTTTTTTTTTATAAAATTTTTTTAATGTTTTATTTATTTCTAGGAGAGAGAGAGAGAGAGAGAGAGAGACAGTGTGAGCAGGGGAGGGTCAGAGATAGAGGGAGACACAGAATCCGGAACAGGCTCCAGGCTCTGAGCTGGCAGTCAGCACAGAGCCCGACGCGGTGCTCAAACCCACGAACCGCGAGATCATGACCTAAGCGAAAGTCGGACGCTTAACCGACTAAGCCACCCAGGCGTCCCTATTCATTTTTGAGAGAGACAAGGAGAGGCAGTGAAAGAGAGGGTGAGAGAATCCCACACGGGTTCCACACTGTCAGCACAGAGTCAGAGGTGAGACTTGAACTCAAGAACCTTGAGATCATGACTTAACCTGAAAATAAGAATTGGACACCTACCTGACTAAGCTACCCAGGCACTGCTCATTAAAACTGGTTTCTAGTCACCCTGATAATTTTCTACTCTATCATTTCTAATCTATATAACTGCTTTCAAAATGTATGGATGTGTGCTTGGAACGTATAGAGGTAGATCGGTTTTGTGTGCATATCTTCTTACCATCCTTCTTTTTAGGTTTGACACCTGCTATGAACACTGATTGAGGATCCAATCTGTGTATTAACCTGTGTGTTATTTTAGATCAACTCTAGGTCAGTTTACCTGGGTTAAAATCTGATCTGTTCCAGGGACAGGATGCTTGACAAAAGATTCACTAAAAACAGAAGAATAATGTGTTGTCTTAGATTATTATTATTTATTTTTCATGAATTTATGAGAAACTGTTAGATGCTCTCTACTAACCAGAAAATGCTTGGAAAACCTTTCTGCCTTTTTTTATTTTTTATTTTTTTCAAAATGTTTTATTTATTTCTGAGAGAGAGAGAGAGAGAGAGACAGCATGAGCAGGGGAGGGTCAGAGAGAGAGGGAGTTACAGAATCTCAAGGAGGCTCCAGGCTTTGAGCTAGCTGTCAGCACAGAGCCCGACATGGGGCTCTAACTCAAGAACGGTAGGATTATGACCTAGCCAGAAGTCTGACACTTAACCGACTGAGCCACCCAGACGCCCCGCCTTTTTGCTAGTTTGGTAGAACCTGTAATTGCTGTAAAACCCGTTCAGTTCAAGTACTCGAAGAGTTCTTGTCATTGAATTCTTCCTCTTTGTTATTGAACTATGTATCCCTTGGCCCATAGACTACGGCCTTGTTAGAAATGTAGACACCTACCTGCATTTCCTAGAACTCCTCAACAGAATCTGCATTTTAGCAAGATCTCCAATGCACTCTTGTGAATTCTGATTCATGTTAGAATATGCTAGGTATAGGGGCGCCTGGGTGGCTCAGCCGGTTAAGAGTCCAACTTCAGCTCAGGTTGTGATCTGGGTTCGTGGCTTCGAGTCCGCGTCGGGCTCTGTGCTGACAGCCAGCTCAGAGCCTGGAGCTTGTTTCAGATTTTGTGTCTCCCTCTCTCTCTGACCCTCCCCTGCTCACACTGCCTCTCTCTCTCAGACGTAAAAAAGAAAACAGAAAAAGAATATGCTAGGTATATTCTAACTCACCAAAACTTTCCATTAAGAAATAGACAGCCACATGGCTCAGTCGGTTGGGCATCCGACTTCAGCTCAGGTCATGGTCTCACAGTTTGTGAGTTCGAGCCCTGAGTTGGGCTCTGTGCTGACAGCTCAGAGCCTGGAGCCCACTTTGGATTCTGTGTGTCCCTCTCTCTTTGCTCCTCCACTGTTCATGCTCTGTCTCTCTCTCCTTCAAAAATAAATTAATAATCGCAAAAAAATTTTATAAAATAGACACATGTACTGTCCTTCAAAAATAAACAATTACAAAAAATTTTTTTAAAAATAGACACTACATGTACTATATGATGTAAATGCAGAATTCAAATATGTGTATGCCTGTGTTGATGCCTTCATTTTACAAATTCTCTTGAATAAACACAATATTTATATTGGTTCATACCTCAAAGTTAAAGAACATATTAGAGCATAATACTGTGTCACAAAATCGTTTTACTACAGAAATTAAGAAATTATTCTAAGCCAGACCAGTTCTCCTAATATTACTGAACTAACAGGAGTTTATTCCTTGGTGAATCACAAAAAACTCTACCAGGTGGGAATGTCAGAGAAAGGAAAATTGATTTACTGGAAATAAGGAAATCATAGGGTATAACTTCCAAACCAGAGATGCATAGAAGGAAGAATGTTTTCCTTTAATTTTTTTTTTAGTTTGAGAGACATAAAAAACAGAAGAGGGGCAGAGAGAGAGGCAGAGAGAGAATCTGAGGCAGCCTCTGCACTATCAGCACAGAGCCCAATGAGGGTTCTAACGCACAACCTGTGAGATCATGACCTAAACTGAAACCAAGAGTCGGATGACTAAGCCACGGAGACACACCAGAATGGTTTCTGTGTATTTAGGGTTAGGGTGGATATTTAGAAAGGGGAGGCGGGAGATATAGTGGCATATGAGCCTTAAGAAAACAGTTGTATACATTCTCTGTATGTTACACAGTAAATGACATTTGTGCTCCTGTTGGGTTGTAATCTTAGTATTATAATGAGGTAAAAAGGGAGCTCTGGAATGGCTCAGTCCCTTGAGTTTCCATCTCTTGATTTAGGCTCAAGGCACACCCTAACAGTCTTGAGATCAAGCCCCAAGTCAAGCGCCTCGCTAAGCATGGAGCCTGGTTGGAATTCTTCTCTCTACCCCACCCATACTTGTGCTCTCTCTCTTTGAGGAAATAAACATTAAAAAATATACACATAATGAGATAAAGGTAACTGTCCTCACTCCATGCTTTATCTTAATGTTCATCTGCATAGATGTGAGTCAGGGGTTAAGCTCAAATTGAGCCAATTCAAGCTCTTCCTCATGACAGTCATTATCTTTTGTCAGATACTCTCTGTTTCCACCACAGGACACTGCCCATGGGGTGTTTTGCCTGAAGCAAAAGGGAGGTGTAAATAAGAGGCTAAGTAAAATGAGGGACTAGGGTCAGTGAGCACATGCAGGTAAGCAGTGAAGATTGGTCATGGAGTCCAGCTGGTGACATTATCTCCCTCTTGCATCTTAGGTACCATTATAACCTTCTCATGTGACCACTTGGTAACTGTGGTATTTTTGCAGGAACTGCTGACCTTCAGGGATGTGGCCATAGAATTCTCTCAGAAGGAGTGGGGATGCCTGAGCCACAGTCAGCGGGAACTGTACAGGGATGTGATGTTAGAGAACTATGGACACCTCCTCTTCTTGGGTGAGGATAACTCCTTCCAAATTTCCTAAACCACACTCAGGGGTTTTGTTCCTTGTTTGAAGACTGTCTCTTGGAAGCTTTCTCTTTGCATGACTGGGATTCACTTACCTACAGTAAGGGAAAGAAGTAGGGGTTGGTAGACGTAGAGAATAATCATCACGATGTTTCCTTTCAGGTGAGTTTTCCCTTCCTTAGAGTATCATCATCATTTCTTAGATTAATGGCAATTCTAAAAATTGGGTGGCATTAAATAGTATTTCCATCTTCAATACGGATTTCTACCCATTATGGTAGTGGTAATACTCGAAAGTGGAGATCACGATGTGAACCTTGGAAATCTCTCCTGTTTTCCAAAGGGACTGCTGGGCAATCGTATTTGGAATGATGTTCCAGAATTCTAGAATGTCCTCTCGTCTCTACTGAGGCCAATACTGGTTTGAAAGGTAGAATCTCCAGCAATACTTCTATTCTGTTGTTCTAACAAACAGGTCTTGTTGTGTCAAAGCCGGCCCTGGTCATCTTTTTGGAACAAAAGAGGGAGCTATGGGATGTGAAGAGAAAGGACACAGTAGCCTCATGCCCAGGTAGGTGAGAATGAAGGAAGCAGATGACAGAGATGAGGTCCCAATGTGATGGAGGAAGACAGACCTTAAAATGTGGTTTGAGCAGCTCTTCTTGAATGGAAATTAGTTTGAGAAACCTAGTTTCATGTCTCTTCTTTTTACAGAGGGACATGTGCTTTCCAACACACCCCACTCTCACATTCTCTAAGGATTCTTCTTCAGTGCCACCAAAGGTCCTTCACATCCACAGTGAGGGCCCCCCTATCTCATTGGTTCTCCATTGCTTTGAGGGTTTGGGGAAATCTCTGTAGTTCTGAGGAAGTCTGTTAGTTCATTCTGAGTGTTTGTCTTGTGTGAGAAGTGTGTCAGGGTAGTTGTAGGCACATTGGGGTTTGGTGCAGAAATCCCAGGAACATTGGGGACAGATACCTGTTACTTGGTTTATGGCTTCCAATATATGGAGGTTTTAGTCTTAATTGTACAAAATTGAAACCCACTATTTTCATCAGATAATAAATCACCTCCGTATAATGAGAAAATTAACCCTTTATTTCACTTCAAAAGTTTAGTTTTTAGGGCGCATGGGTGGATCCGTTGCTGAAGCCTCTGACTTCAGCTGAAGTTATGACCTTACAATCAGTGAGTTTTTTATTCCTGCACAGGGTTCTGAAAACAGAACAGAGGAAGCTTGGAATTCTATCTCTCTTCTATTCCCCTACTTAGTCTGTCTATCTCTCTCTCTCTCCAAAATTAAGGAAAATAAACTTAGAAAAAATAAGAAAAGTTTGTTTTTTGACAGTATTAACTAAAATCAGAAACTTCCTGGGGCGCCTGGGTGGCTCAGTCAGTTAAGCATCCAACTTTGGCTCTGTTCATGATCTCACTGTTAGTGGCTTCGAGCCCCGCATCGGGCTCTGTGCTGATTGCTAGCTCAGAGCCTGGAGCCTGTTTCAGATTCTGTATCTCCCTCTCTCTCTGATCCTCCCCTGCTCATGCGGTCTCTCTCTCAGAAATAAATAAAAAACATTAAAAATAAAAAAAGAATTTAAACAAGAAATTTCCAGTCTATATGTTCCATTCCTCAGTGGTGAAATAATTACAGCTTGTATTATTTTCCTAGAATTTCTACATAAATTCATGTCACAGGGGAGATAGAACATTTAGAATTCAAAACTTGCAGCCTATAATAAAATCTCAATCGTTATATTATTTCTTAATAATTGAATCATTTTATAATTTTGTCATGTATAATATGAAGTTCCTGTGAGTTTGTCATATGTGTTCTCACTTTCTGAGAAGTTATATATGAGATCATATTATGATTTATTATATCAAATAGTTTTTAAATTTTTTGTAATATTTATTTTACAAAGACAGAGTGAGCAAGGTAGGAAGGAAAGAGAGGGACACACAGAATCTGAAGCATCCTCCTGGCTCTGAGCTGACAGCATGGGGTCCGCCCCGGGGCTCCAACTCACAGACCACGACATCGTGGCCTGAGCCGAAGCTGGACGCTGGACTTACTGTGCCACCCACACCCCTGTGGCCATAATACTATCTCTGAATGTGCACCCATGAAAAAGGCACATTTTGAATTATCGGCATGTCTTCATGCACAGGAAAATTGTAAAGTATGTTCATTAATATCAACCATGGAAAGCTCTAATGAAAGCCCTTATGAATTAAGCACTTAAAAGACATTATTACACAGAATTTAAGGGTATAGCCCATTTTGTAGAATCATGCAAGCAAAACACTTTCATTTCGTTTAAAGTTTTTGGTTCCCATGTATTCTGAGAAATGGAGAGAGAGAGTGGAGGAGGGGTAAAGAGAGAGGAGAGAATTCCAGGCAGGCTCCACACTGTCAGTGCAGAGCAGGATGTGGGGTGGAACTCACAAATGAGATGATGGCCTGAGCTGAAGCCAAGAGTCAGAGTCTCAACCCTCTCTGAGCCACCCACGCACCCCAAACCTTTCATTTCTTAACATACAAACAACATCAAAGTGCTAAAATATGCCAAAAATAAGTTTATAAAACGAATATTGGGATTAAATTTACATACAATCTGAGTGATGTAGAAAAACTAATGATTTCAGGGGCCTTTGTGGCTCAGTAAGTTAAGTGTCATGATCTCACAGTTTGTGGGTTCAAGTTTCCCATTAGGCTCTATGCTGATGACTCAGAGAATGGGGCCTGCCTCAGATTCTGTGTCTCCCTCTCTTTCTGCCCATCCCAGTCCCCCCGCCACACACTCTCTCTCCATCTCTCAAAGAATAAATAAACATTAAAAAAGATAAGTATTTTTTTAAAAGAAAAAGTAATCATTCCTTTTTCCTGATGTTGAAGTTCTCTGTTTTTAAGTTTTGTGTATTAGATATTTCAATTCTATTCACCAGACAGTAGAAAGTGAAATGCCTTTATTTTTATTCTTTACCTTTCAGCTGTATCATCAAATGATACTAAGAGCCTCCTTCCAAAGATTTTCATAGAAACTTCTTTCCAAAGAGTGTTAGTGGATAGGTATAAATATAGTTCCCTTGAGAATGGACACTTTATGACAGACTGGAAAAAGGATGGGGAGAGAAAAGGGCATCAAAGATATCTGGGGACTCCTTTTCCAGAGAACGATTATGAATGTAATAAATATGGGGATGTTTTTTATCAAAACAACAAGCTTATTACACATAAGACTATACAATTGGGAGAGAATCCTTGTAAATATAATGAATGTGGGCAAATTCCTAGCATGTCCTCCAATGTTGGTGATCATCAGAGGATTCATGTGGGAAAAAACCCATGTACATGCAATGAACCTGGGGACATGCTTAGTCAGTCATCAAGACTGCATATAAATAAGACAATCCAGACTGGACTGAAAGGTTACAATATTAAGGAATGTGACAGAGCCTTAAGCTGGCACTCAGCACAAATTGAACATCAGCCAGTACATACTGGAGACAAACCTTACAAATGTGAAGAATATAGTAAAACTTTTAATTATGGCTCATCAGTAAATGGACATAAACTAATCCTTACTGGAGAGAAACCTTACACACATAAAAATTGTGAGATGGCCTTGACCCAACACTCTCCTCTTATTGAACGTCACAGAACCCACACTGGAGAGAAACTTTACCAATGTAAAGAATGTGGCAAGTCCTTTAACCGATCCTCAGACCTTAATTACCATCACAGAATCCATGCTAGAGAGAAACCTTACCAATGTAAAGAATGTGGCAAGGCCTTTACCCATGCCTCAATCCTTTACCAACATAATCGAACCCATACTGGAGAGAAACCTTACCAATGTAAAGAATGTGGCAAGGCCTTTAATAAGGCCTCAAACCTACACAAACATGTCAAAATCCATACTGGAGAGAAACCTTACCAATGTAAAGAATGTGGAAAGTCCTTTACCCAGTCCTCAAACCTTTACAAACATGTCAAAATCCATACTGGAGAGAAACCTTACCAATGTAAAGAATGTGGCAAGTCCTTTAAATGGCCCTCCATCCTTAAGCAACATCAGAGAATCCATACTGGAGAGAAACCTTACCAGTGTAAGGAATGTGGAAAGGCCTTTAACTCTCCCTCCACTCTTCATCAACATCAGAGAATCCATACTGGAGAGAAACCTTACGAATGTAAACAGTGTGAAAAGGCCTTTAACTCTCCCTCCACTCTTCATCAACATCAGAGAATCCATAGTGGAGAGAAACCTTACCAGTGTAAGGAATGTGGAAAAGCCTTTAAGTCTCCCTCCACTCTTCATCAACATCAGAGAATCCATTCTGGAGAGAAACCTTACCAATGTAAAGAATGTGGAAAAGCCTTTAAGTCTCCCTCCACTCTTCATCAACATAAGAGAATCCATACTGGAGAGAAACCTTACCAATGTAGAGAATGTGGAAAGGCCTTTACCCAGAACTCATATCTTACTCAACATCACAAAATTCATACTGGAGAAAAACCTTACCAATGTAGAGAATGTGGCAAGTCCTTTACCCAGAACTCAAGCCTTTATAAACACCACAGAAACCATTTTGGAGAGAACACTTACCAATGTAAAGAATGTGGCAAGTCCTTTGGTTACCCATCAGACCTCACCAAACATCACCGAATCCATACTGGAGAGAAACCTTACCAATGTAAAGAATGTGGCAAGTCCTTTAAATGGCCCTCCATCCTTAAGGAACATGAGAGAATCCATACTGGAGAGAAACCTTACCAGTGTAAGGAATGTGGAAAGGCCTTTAACTCTCCCTCCACTCTTCATCAGCATCAGAGAATCCATACTGGAGAGAAACCTTACCAGTGTAAGGAATGTGGAAAGGCCTTTAACTCTCCCTCCACTCTTCATCAACATAAGAGAATCCATACTGGAGAGAAACCTTACGAATGTAAACAATGTGGAAAAGCTTTTAAGTCTTCCTCCACTCTTCATCAACATAAGAGAATCCATACTGGAGAGAAACCTTACGAATGTAGAGAATGTGGAAAGGTCTTTACCCAGCACTCATATCTTACTAAACATCACAGAATCCATACTCAAGAGAAATTTTACCATTGTAAAGAACGTGGCAAGTCCTTTATCTAACACCCACACCTTATTTAACATCACAGAATTCATACTAGATTGAAACTTTACAAGTGTAAACAATATGGTCAGATCTTTTACTGACCCTTACACCTTACTCGACAGCACTGAATTCATACTTGATAGAAAACAATGTAAAGAATGTACTAAGGTCTTTAATCACTCTTCAATCTTTACTCATTATCACAGAGTTCATACCGGAGCAAATCTTCCACATTTAGGAATGTGAGAAACGTTTTGTGGACTGCTCACCCCTTGCTTCGCATTGGAAAATTTATGTTGGAGAATAATCACTGAATACTAAAGAATGTGGCAAGGCTTTGAAGCATTGCTAAATGCTGACTCCTGATCAGAGACTGAATACTGGGGAGGATTTTGCAAATATAAAGAATTTGGGAAGCCTATTCATCAGATGTGAAGCTTCATTCTACACCACAGCATTCATACTGTAGAAAAAATTTAAATTGTAAAAAATATGGTAAACCCTTTATGACTGATCAACATTAGTTGGCATCACAGACTTTATAGTGAGAAGAAACATTACAAAGGTAAAGAATGTATACATCCTATAGTTGGACCTCACGACTTGCTCCATATCATAGCTAACTTACAGGATAGAAAGTAACATGTACAGTAAAAAAAAAAGCAGTGCTTATAAGTGCAATTTGATCCTTAATCAATATCCAAAAGTTCACATGAGATTTATATTCTACAGACATAATGAATGAGGAAAGGCCTTCAATTAAATGTATGCTTTAGCAAACACCAGCCAGTGCATAAAAGGTTACTTGAAAGATTTAAATATTCAGAAAAATATTGAACTGAACATTAGCTGTCAATAAGCATTACAGAATTCCCAATAGAGACTAGTATATCAGACTGTATTCAGACATTCATCAACATACTGATGATAAGGGCTAATACAATGTTAAACACAATGTGTATGCTATTATGCCTCAAGAGATTGATTGGGTCAATCTTTTAAATGTTTTTTATTTTTGAGAGAGAGCAGGAGCCAGGAATGGGGAGAGAGAGTGGGAGACAGAGTACAAAATAGGCTCCGGGCTCTGAACTGTCAGCATAGAGCCCGACTGGGTGCTTAAACTCATGAACTGCAAGTGCACGACCTGAGCCAAAGATTAATGCTTAATCAACTGAACCACCCAGGTGCTCCTAAATAGATCAATTTTTGCATAGGCATCATTAATTTCAGTCAGTGCTCTGCTTTTTGTCACATCAACCTTCTCTGACATTTGTGACTAGAAAATATTAGTGTATTTTCATTCTCATAAAACTTCCAAACTTCATTTATTCCAAATGGCTTTGGAAAATTATGTGACTATTGGTGCATTAAAGACATGACATGCCCTTCTTCATTAGGTGTGACTTATGTCTCATTCTCCACGGAAGATAAAGGAAAACATAATACACAATACATAAAGAAGATCTACATGGAGATGCTGTTGTTGGTTAAACATTGGTGCAAGTTCTGATGAAAAGGTGTTCAAAACATCATTCTTTTCCCTGTATTAAAGCTAAAATCTTATTGAATATTACAAATAAAATAATTTCCCAACTGGACTTTAAGGGAAAAAAGATGTGGCAGTGCAGTGAAACACCGGAATATCTTCACTACAGCAAGAGTTAGAGAATGTCAGTTGTTGTGTTTGAAGTGATGAAATGCTCACAGAAGTTCAAAAGGGCATAACTAACTTTTCCCCAAAATAGCATAGAATTATAAATACAGAGTTTTCGAGAATACCTCAGGCCTGAAAATTACAGACGTCTGAATTCGCACATCATTTTATCAACAAATAACTTTCTGAAGGCTTGCATTCTAGATATTGAACCATGCTAATAGGACGGATTGGACATGAATAACTTAATCTATGTGTTACCTTAATACATTTAATTAATAAAACAATTTTTTAAATGTGTTTCTATGGATTCTACAGCATGAAGTCTTATCCCATAACCAATGTTAACCTATCTCGTGATTAAATACTGTAGGAAAGAGATGGAAAGTAAGAAAATGTGAAGATGTCTTTCCACTGTAAGGTGGGAACCTGAAGTGGCTCAATTTTCAGAACTGCAGAGTCACAGGCAGCTCTTGGTCTCATCATCTGATGAATAAAAGTCATAGAGATATGGAATTGACAAATCTGGGATTCTGAGGATGAGGGAAGTGCCATTTCATCTTCATGATTTAACTGAGTTCCTGTGTATTACTGAGGACCAGATGCTCTAATTAGGATGACAATGATGCCTGTGATGCTCAGGTCTTGGTCAGTGGCAGTTATGGAGGAGGGCATATCGGATGATGTAAATCATTATGGGTATTGCTGTAAAATGTCACACGTTACAGTAGGTATTGGAGATGACGCTCAAAGGGCCTGGACACAGTGGGATAGGTTCAGAGACAGGGACCCGATGAGATTTATTAGAAACACCTATTATTTGACCCGTTTTCATTCTCTGAAGCAGGGGCTGTAGACAACCTACAAAGCCACATAGGGAGTAGGGAGTTTTTAAAGGGGCGTCACAGAACTCCTGAGCATTGACATGCAGGGGAAGCAGTGGTACAGTGCTGAATCATTCTCCATATGACCTCAGGACTTGCTGGCATCAGAAAAGGCCACTTTGCTACCATGGTCAAACTTGAATTTCTAGGAACATTGGGATCCTTGTTTCCCCAGCAACAGTGGCCTGTTGAAATCTCAAAGAAGCAACAAGTAGTCAAGCCATAAGCTAGAGAGCATAGGTCAGTGTGTTAGATGTATGTACCCATGACAGTGCTTGGAACAGGTATAGTCTGAGAAAGTCTGTATTTGTAAAGTAACAGACACATCATTAAGGTAGTTTTTATGGAGCTTTTAGTCTGCACACACAGCTTTTACTCACGAGGTGCTGTGCTGGGTACCTCAGGAACGTGCATGTGAGTTAGCCTTCTCATACCTTAGGGCCTGAAAATGGGTGTCCAGTATTTCCCCCAGAATATAGATGCTGTCCCCTACCTTTCTGTTTCTTTTTCTCCCATAACATTGATTGTATAAAAGAGGAGCCAAAAATGGTTTGGAAGAATATGTGAAAGCATGAACTGGAACCTCAGAGAATGTTCTCATTATTGACAAAGAAGTAAACTGGCGTGTGACAGGAGAAATTCAAATTTAGTAGTATATGTATGGAGACTCCACAAACAAGGAAATTGCAAAGAAAGGAAAAGTAAGGTATACATGTCTTTGAAGAAAAGAGAAGGAAGGCAGGAAGAAGGGGAGGAAGGAAGAATAGAAGTCTGGGGCCTCCGGGGAAAGCATGTAATTCACAGGAAGATGAAAAGTAAGTATTTGATAAGCAAATGTTTTCTGGGCCGCTCTATAAACAGTAGGACATAGAAAACTTTGTTCACATGGTCCTTCCTGGGTTCCTCCCTGTTGACCATACCTAGCTTGTATCATAATGTAGTCCCGTGTGGTGAGTGCTCTGATCCTGGGCAGCTTTTCTATGTATATTATTTTTTAGAGAGGCAAGTGAAAAGTAAACATTCTTCATGAATCTGCTTAATTTTGATTGCTTATTAACACCAAATGATGTTTCTGCCAAAGTGGCCCATCAGAGAAGAGCCTGGGTGTGACTCATAGAAACTGTAGGAGATTTTGTTCAGTTTTGGTTCAGGTCATGACCTTGTGGTTCATGAGTTCAAGCCCCGTATTGGGCTCCCATGCTTACGTTGTGGAACCTGCTTGGGATTCTTGCTCTGTCTGCTCCTCTCCCACTCATGCTTTCTCTCTTTTGCAAAATAAATAAACTTTAAGAAAAATGTTGAAGTAAGTGACGGTCATCAAAGCATGGAGTAGAATGTTGTCAACTACTGAGGAAGGAAATGTTGACATGATACTGGCATCTCGAGGTTACAGCAGGGAGAGCTCTCAAGCCCTATCAATCAGAGTGAATGGCAGACTCAACAGGAAGAAAATGTCTTTAGCTTCCACAAACTCGACCTTCGAGGTACGTTATACTCTACTATTCCAGCCGGAGGAAGACATGTTTCTGTATCTTTCCCAGGCAACAGCACAACCACTGAAAACCCACATTCCTTCAAACTATCATTTTACTACAAAGACCTTTTAGTTGATAAAAGACTTTTTAACATATCCCTTTTCTCCAAAAAACCAGGACTCTTCTCTATTCTCTGGGCTCTGCTATTGTTTTGCGTCAACCTGTTTGTTACCAGTTCCAAATTCTGTTATTCCAGAATGAACCCATGTTTTGGTGGATAAGTAACTGGCAGTGATTATTTATAGGTTAAATGTAACAATGTTCACTTATGTTGGATGAATAAATATGGGATTTCTATTGTACAGCACAGCGACTGTTTTCTACACTTGAAATTTGCTAGAAGAAAGCATCTAAAGCATGCTCACCACACACACACTAGTCTTCACTATGTTGGGTGCGACATTTGTTCATTAGTTTGATTTGGGTAATGATTTTTAGGGTGGTAAGGTTAGGAGTCTACAGAATAAGGGACACAGAAGACAGATTTCTAAACATAAGAGAAGTCACATTAGTCATTTATGAATGACGCCCACTTACGGTCTATGACAGCAATACTTACCCAAGCATCTGTTTAGAAAATTTCCTGGGGAAGGGGCTCCTGGGTGGCTTAGTCAGTTAAGCGTCCGACTTTCGTTCAGGTCATGATCTCGCGGTTCGTGGGTTTGAGCCCCACGTCGGGCTCTGTGCTGACTGCCAGCTCAGAGCCTGGAGCCTGTTTCAGATTCTGTGTCTCCCTCTCTCTCTGACCCTCCCTTGCTCACACTGTCTCTCTCTCTCTCTCTCTCTCTCTCTCCTAGAAATAAATAAAAATATTTAAAAAAAAAAAGAATTATTCTAAAAAAAAAAAAGAAAAGAAAATTTCCTGGGATATATTAAAATTGTAGAATAACAGAGATCAGTAGTGAGTGATTTCTTTTTTTTTTTTAATTTTTAAATGTTTTATTTATTTCTAGGAGAGAGAGAGAGAGAGAGAGACAGCGTGAGCAGGGGAGGGTCAGAGAGAGAGGGAGACTCTGAAACATGCTCCAGGCTCTGAGCTGGCAGTCAGCACAGAGCCCAACGCAGGGCTCGAACCCACAAACCGCGAGATCATGACCTGAGCGAAAGTTGGACGCTCAACCAACTAAGCCACCCAGGCGCCACAGTAGTGAGTGATTTCTTAAAAAATGTTTTGTATTTATTTTTAACAGTGAGTGTATGAGCTTGTATGGAGAGAGGGGGAGGGGCGGAGGATCTCAAGCAGGCTCTGCATTGACAGCAGAGAGCCCCCTGCAGGCACATACTCACAAACCATGAGATCATGATATGAACCAAAGTCGACTGATCAAAGGACAG